ACTGGCAGCGCGTAATGGTGTTGGCCGTCTCGAAGCTCGTTGCGGCACGCACGTTCCGGACTTGCAGACGACAGACACACCGGCCGTCATGTCCATCGCGGAGCAACGTTCGGAAGGCAAGAGAGCCCGCCTGGACGGCTCCGACGTGCATTCGAAGCACCTCGATATGCGGCCGGCGGTTGCAAGCGGCGAACAAGGCCAGAAGCGGAAGAAGAATCGTCGGGATCGCAGGCGCCAGGTGGCTGCCGACAGCGGCGCGGCGGCTGACGCGCTCACAGTGTCTCTTCCTCAGCCATCCAAGTCCTTTATCCCATCGCCCTTCTATCATGTTCCCGACTCGTGGGCTCGTGCGTTGCAGGACGTCTCGCCTGTTCCTCGTCTTGAGGCGTCCGCGCTGTACTTCTTCCCCCCGCCCTTCCTTCTCGACACCGTCTCTTCGCAGCTACCCATGTCATCGGAATGTGTCTGCCCTACCGCTGCACGAAACGACGACAAGATATTGAGATACCTGCACAGCCACCTCCGCATCCGACGCTTCTGCCGTACGCGCCTGTTCGACCCATCCATGTCAAGCGTACCCCTGACGGTTGCCGAATGGCGAGCGGCTCTTTGGGGTGAATTCAGCGAGAAAGACGCCGAAATCACAGGGAGCAGCGCAGCGGATGTCCGACGGGCAAAGCGCCGTCGCGAGGAGCGGAATGCGATCTGCCGGTTGTTTGGGCGAGTAGCCCTTCTTCCGTCCTACCGCGAGGACAGGAAGGCGTCCTTCCTTGGGAAAGAATTTGCAGCAAAGGACCTCATGGAAGCCAGCAATGTCCGGCGGTGGGTTCTTTGGGAGTCCCACGAGATCAACTTCCGCTGCAAGATGATGGCTTTGGATACGTACCTCATGCAGCGGAAGGATTGGCAGGAGATCCATCGTTGGAATAGGGAAGCGGCAGTGTCGGCAGTTTGGGGCAGTAACGCTTCGGTCCTCAGTGTATTGCCGGAAGACCATTTGGTAGGGGAGTCCCATCGATGGATGTCAGCGGCGAACTCTGGTTGGCGCACTTGCTGCGACTCTTTGGCTGCTTTCGTCAAAGTTATGGAACGTTGGCCCACATTTCCTCGTTCTCTGCTCGGGACTGCCATGAACGCTCCTGAGTGGGATCAGGTACGGTACGCTGCGGTGTGCGACGAGGCAGTCAGGTTCTATGTAAATACTTTCGTGCAAGTCTACAAGAGGCTACCTATTCCTCCCATTCCCCCAGCCGTAACCTTGGACGCGTAGTTACCCTATGTATACGATATACTTGTCTAGACGCGCTCGTCAATGGCCCCATCTCGCGCACATGTCCGCCGTCCGCTCTTGTCGGACGTTTGTACCAGGTTTCATCAGCTAAGATACCTAAGTTTCCACGAGCTATTCAGCGTATACAATAATCGTTCCCCCAGGCGTTGATTGCGGTCTACCGTAGTAGGCCAGTGCGAACTTAGTTTCCGCCCACGTAGACACATACGGCCGAATCGCAATACAACGCAAAGGGAACATGGACTCTCTTGTCGTTCCTCATTGACGAGATGCAGGTCGCGCGCAGTCCCGGCCTGTCATGGATAGTTCTTCCCGTCCGCGTGCAAAATCCGCGGGATACAATATCCCTGTGATAGCACGAAGCTTCCGCGGCCGGCCGTCCCTAAAGCAGAGGCGGTTACATGACAGCATGAGCGTTGATGTTGGTGCTACTGGGATTGAGTCTTGTGATTCCTCACTTGACTCTCAGGTCCCTTGTTACGAAGGCGTAGGTTACGCCATATGTACTGTCCATCAGATACAATAGATTCCACATCCAAACGTACTTCACAGCACGACCGGACATCATACATACAGACAGTGCGCGATATCATATCTCCAGTAGCCCGTCCGCGCCCCCCCAACATACACAACCGTGCCGCGCAACATCCGCCTCGTTCACGGCATGCAGGGCCAACTGGCGCGCGCGCAGGTAAAGCATCTTGTACTCCTCGTTGATGAGTTCCGACGCGTGAAGAAGCTCTTGTAGCTTCTCCTCCCGTTCCTCGCGGCGAGCCAGCTCGCTTTGCAGATAGGCAATGCGGCCCAGCAGGCTCTCGATATACCCTATGGCATATTGATGTGTAGCAGACAGATGAAACCATACCACATCACTTACAAGTTAGGTACTCGGCGGGCCCGAAGTCTGCCTCACCGGGCAGTTGCACGTATTCGCCACCATGCGTGTTAAACTCTCTAACTCAGGAATCAGTAGGGAAGAGACTGATGAAAATAGGCTGGCAGGCATTGCACGTACGGAACGTCGGGAGCGGCGGCGGCTGCCATTTCCGAAAGGGATGCGGCGCAAGATACAAGGATGAATGTTGAAGACGGTGGGTAATGACGTGGAGGAGACCAAGCACTACCCTTCATAAGCGCCCGTACCCATGGCATTGCTGAGGGCTGAGCGCTGAGCGCTCGGATTGCTCTTGTGCCGCCACTCCCTCTCTCGTGTGCTCTCCTCTGGCTCGTCGGGAACTCTCTCGTAGACTCTATCTTTCTGGCACCTCTGAGGTATCTTGCCTGGTGTTTCACTCGCGCGTGGCGAACAAACCTCAGGAAGACGGCCCCCACTCCCGCATCCTTTGCGCCGGCCACCACGAGCTCGCATGGCGCAATAACTGCGTGAAGAGCAGTTCTCCTCGTGTCGCGTTCCAAGAAGGGATTTTGCAGGCTTCGGATAGGGGTTATTCATCGCGTCGGCGGTCACGGTCGCGGGCCTGGATAATAGGTACGTCAAGACAGTGATGTAGCTCATGCCGAATGAATCCAACGTAACGGTTAGGGGGGAGCACGTTGTGGATGTCAGCCGCGTCGATAGTAAACAGTGCGCGAGATCGTCGTCGTCATGTCGATCACCGTCGCACACACGCAGCTCGTACGCGGATGTCGCGGTCGCGTCACTATCCCAGACGTTGTCGTAGCCGTCATCGTCGTGTGCGGCTGGCGCGCCTCGCTGGCGTTTCGGAGGCGACGGTCGTGGTCGCCTACTTGGTCACAGTATATCGGGCGCGAGCTCGGTCACCGTGGAGGCGGCGGCCTTGGTGGTGCTGGTGGTGTACCGAGGCGGAGGCTGGTTTGTACGGGCAGCCGCGTAGTGGGGCGTAGCGGTCAAGACGTGCTCGCGGGTGTGGTACAGCGGACGCTCGACTTCATGGGCGAAGCATATCGACGGCTCGTTGTGGCGAAACCGGTCGCGGTGCGAGTGGCGGAGATGAAAGCGGCCGAAGGACTGTACGAGGGGTGAAGGGTACATATACTAGGTATTGAGCAATACAACTCATTTCCTCCGTCGTTGCGACCGGATGGAGGCAGTACAATATCCGAGGCTCTATGTGCTGTATTGGCACGATCGCGCGAGGTAGCTTATGCCAGCCAGCGCCGTACCATATTCACAATCTCCCATCTATGTATTCGGTCCATCAGTAGCATACACGTAACGTGCGAGTGGACACGCCTCCTGTCTCCTAACACGACGCGCTGCGAGGAGGGGCGTTATCCGTCAGGCTTCCCGCCACTCGAGGAATCCCAACAGGCTACTCTCATGTTAGCATCATAGTAGCGCGTCGTGGGATAACGGACTAACCACATCGATGATTGCGGGGAAGTGTCGATGCGCGGCGTCGAGTCTGCGTTCCCACTGAGCTGCCTGCCTTTGAATACTATCAGACAAATGACCATCGTTGCCCCAAGTGAGCGGTGTACCTGCGCGCGTAGGCGGCGGCGCCGCCCTTGCCACGGATCGCATGCCCCACAGCTCGTTTTCTCCATACCTGACGATAGTGCTGGTACGTCTTCCTGGTACGGAACATCTCCTCTCTGCGCACATAGCACTCTTCCTCCCATCGTTGTTTACGCGCGCTCTGTCGGAACCAGTGTACCCGGGCACCTGTACGGGGCTAGCGTCAGTGTGTTATCGCTCTCGAAGACGTAAGAGACGTACAATCTTCGAGAAAGTTCTTGATTTCCCCCGGTTCTATCTGGTCGATATACCCAAAGTTACCCCATATCCAGGTAGGTTTTCGCTTGCTGTCGTTGTGCTGCTGTTCTTCTACGACGATCACGAATGGCTTGCAGTCCTTATCTTCTAAAGGCTGAAGGTGCTCGTCGTCCTCGGGCATACCTAACAGACGCAGTATCTGCCTGACCTCCCTGTATCGCCGTTTCGCAGAGTTTATGGCAGCTGTCTTCTTCGTTAGTCGTCGGTCCCAAGCCGTATTCCGGATGACACCGGAGACCTGCCGTTTGCGGTCTTCGAGGGATAGATAAGTCGTCAAGTGCAGCCGGAGGTCGTCTAGAGCTTCATTAGCTTGGCCGCGCCTGAGCTCGCGCTCGAAGTTGACGAGTTCCGTCATAGAGGTGGCGCCTCGTATGTGGCTGTGATAGTCGGAGGGCAGAAGGAACTGGGTTGCGGGATCATCTAGGTCGGCCAGTAGGGTGGCAAAGGGAGAGGCCGAGTTCTCAGCCCGCTTCCTCTTAAGCTTCTTACCGGATACCACCGGCGGGCCAACTGTGAGGCCGCATGCGGCATCGTCGCCGGGGTCACGCCTCGGGAACGTGCTTGGATGACCTGTGGCGGAGATGCTCTGGATCGCGGCGGTGATGCACGGTTGCAAGTAGCGTGCATGCATCTCTTGACAGCCCTCTGCCTGTTTGCGGAACGCCTCGACTTGCGTGGTGAGTTTTCGCCTATCCTTGTCCGTGCGAGACGAAGATTGGATGTCGTGACGGAGCTCTTCGCTGTTAAATGAGTTAGTAGCCTTGTTCACGAGGTGGTGATTCGTCCTACCGCGTCGAGTTGAGGCGCAAAACCTCCTCCATTGCTCCGAGCATACCCACCGCCTCGCGTTCCCCTGCCGCTCCGTGCTTCTGCTCTAGGTGCTCGGCTATCGCCTGCGTCGTTAAAGCTGGAGCCGTGTCAGTTGCTGGGTCGCGTTAGATTCACCCTTCGTACCTGTTTGCTCGGGCGGCTCGAACGGGTTGTCGAGCCCTTTGTGCTGCCTGACGTCCACGACCTTACGCTGCCATTCGGCTTCCTCTTGACGCCATCGAGCTACCTTCTCCGGAGCGATGCTTTCCTCTAACTCCGATAGATAGTCCTGGGCTTCTTCGAATAACGCTTCTGCCGTGTTGTGCTTGTCTACCAGTTCGTACACTGCACAAATCAGCACGAAGTGGCAGCGGGTCTGGATAGACGACGATACCTAACCCCTGCAATCGTCGAGTGTTCATGTCCGCGTACGTGTCGTTCAGCACGTCGTGTCGGTGCCCGGCGGACATCTCCTTCGTGCGTCTCGCGAGCGCGTTGAGGATCGCCCACATCCGCTCTAACGTCTCCCCATCCGTCATGCATGCGCCTGGCATGAAATGGAGGGAGTGCTTGTGTCGACAGTCACCGGTATGCATGGCGAGGTGATACTTGCCGACCGCCGCCCTGATGATGGGAAGCTCCGCGGAATCGATCGACTCCAGCTCGTGCGCGACTTTGTTGAATTCCTCGTACAGACGTGTGCGGAGGTTCTTGATATACTGGCAATGTATGTCATAGGTCCCATACAGCAGCCCTAGTTCCCTGTAGTGCGAGAGAGCCGACACCAGACAGAAGTCGACATAAAGATACCTGGACGTCCCACATCGTCAGCAACAGCGGCTTCGGCCACATGTCGACGTACCGTTCAGCAAAATGAAGATCAACTACGCCACCGGGCAACATGAACATGTGCCGACAGGATATGCCGATGACGCCTGTTACCTTCCCGGTGTACTTGCCGTTGGCCATGGCGCCGAACTGATTGCACGTCGATGACTGACTTGGTGTTAGTACATGCGACGCTGGACAGAGACATACCGCTCACTTCATTGACCGGAGGCGGGACGGTCCGGAGGAAGTGTTGAAAATCTCGTTCGTGGACGAAGTACCCCGCGCCCATTGAGTACGCGAAGTCGTCAGGGTCTGTGTCTTTCATCTTCATATTGAGGTGGAAGTTGCCGTCGATGGAATAGTGGAGCGCATCTAGATAACTACGCGGCGTGAATTGGCTACGGTAAGTCCAGCCTCGAAAGAAACACTTACCTATGCACTTCGTCTCTTTGCTTCCACCCCTCCCTCATGTTGATTCCGGGCTGTGGACACGCAGGGCATAGTACAATCAAACTCCTTCGGGGCAATTCGCGTGCTGGCCGAACACCCGCACTTCGACACTGTTGGATGTATGTATACT